CTTTTAATTTTCAGCTATTTATGTATTATTTATTATATATTCTACTATCATAAAATATATTGTAAAATGTGTGTATTGTTTTATTTGAATGCTTTAATTGGTTTCTCTCCTAATTCTAACACGAGGAACATAACAAAAAGAAACTATAACAACATAGCTTAAAATTATACATATACACTTTATCAATGCATGTAATCATATAAGAAAATTTATTGATTAAATTTCATTCTTTTTTAATTTGTATCCCAATACTTTCAGATATTATTATATATTTAAAGCATTCATATGGTGTAATATGAAGTTTAAATATACTCATTTGTCTAATCAATTTTTTCATTATATTTCATGTTTCATTTTATTATATATGCAAAATAAGAAGATAAAAAGTATGTTATATTTGTATTTTATCTATGATTTTTCTCCCCACTAGTGGTCCCCTTATATCTTATTTTAATCTTTATCATATTCTCTCTCCTCCTCACTATACTCACTTTTGTTTTTTTAGATTTTTTTATTTTTCAATCAATCCTACCTCCATCATATTTTATTATTTCCAACTACTCCTTCTAAAACTCCATGCATGGAGAAATGGAGCAGATAATAATAAAATGCGGAGGGAGTACTTCATAAGCAAGTGTCAATTCAGATGTCTGGGTTGCAGGTTAGGCCGGATTGGATCTATCTTTAATTTGATTTAAGACCATAAATTTGAAAAATCATTATTTTTTTATGAAAAACCATAAATTTCACAGGTGTCAATTCGGATCTTTGAGTCGGATTCGATGAGATCGTGTGCCCGTGTGGTGGCTAATTTGCAAAAGACTACTGTGACACTTTTATTAGAAAAAAAAATACATTTTTCCGTACATATATAATTTTATAAAAGCTATTTTTTTGGAAAAAAAATGGAATAAAAAATTATGTTAGAACATTATAAAAAGAAATGGAAAGAACATCATAAAATGCTCGAAAATAAAATAAAGAGAAGAGCTTTTGTGAATGGGGGGAGTAATTTTAAATATTCAAAGATATCGTGTGGTTTATATGGGAACCTAGGGGTATTTGGTTCGTTAAAGATTAGATTGGTATGAGATGTCATACTTAGGAGTTAAGGGTCATAAACCCCATATTTGTCTAAACTGTTTGATTTTTTCTTTGAAATGATTTTTACTTATCATTAAATGAATAGATTGTGAATCTTAGGGGGGTAAGATAAATATGTGATTTTAAGGGGATGGGGTGAAATTAGAATCCCCTCGATCGGTATGAGATTCCATACCTAAAATGAGTAACCAATCAAATAATAAAATGGATGGAATGGATTTCAACTTTATTCATATCCATTCCAAAAGCTCGAGCCAAACGACCCTTATACAATTACATTTCATTGAAATTAAATTCCCACATTCAATCCTGTGAATTGCATATTTAAGTTTATTTGGTTATAAATAAGAAATTTGCAAATTATGGTAAATTTGAGTTACTAAGAAAGGGGTTGATAATTTAATATTTACAATTTGTAGGCATTGAAAATCCACATAAATTTATCCTACAAATTTCACTTTTTAGAGCCAATCAAACCAACCCTCATATCTAAATTTTCATAAATTTTCAGTTTTTCAAATTTTTATGTTCATCCAAACAAGGCGTATAAGGAGAAATAAAAATAGGTTAAAGAGTAATTACAATTGAATCATCCTTAAAAATGTTGTAGACGTCACTATTATATTTTAGTGTTTAGGTTTCACTCACTACAAAATTAAGGATTAATTAATTTAATTATCATCAAAAGAAGCTACTCCTACTCATCATAGGACGAAAAAGCAATTTTCATAGAAGCTTTATTCTGCTTGTCGGCATCTTAGTATCTAATTATACCATTAGTCTACTCTTATCCTTGATTCGTCACAATCACTTTATTACGGAGTATAAATTTATAAAGTATATGTCGAGTTGTCGACCCCTTTGATAATAAGTGGTTTTTGATAGTTTTTTTTTTTTTTTTTTATAAAAAAAACAAAAAAAAAATATTGGTTTGAGCACCTTTAAATGTGTACTCCCAAAAAGACAACGGCATTAACAATGTATAAATTTGATTTAATAATTGTAATTAGGAAGAAGAATAATCTAACCTTTGGTCATATCTCTCAAAACAAACCTATCTTTTGATTATTTTAGAATAATCCAATCTTTATAGGTATTATCCTTTAAAAAACCTAGGTGACCTGTTACCTAAACAATCAGTCAATATTTTTCTTTTCCTTTTTTTTTAATAAATGAAATATATTTTTTAATTTTAATTTTATTTCCTTCCCTAACCTTTCTCACTCTTCTCCCTCTTCATCCGCTACCTTCCAGATTACAACCACCGTCACCCCGCCCCCACGCCGCCCCACCCTTAACCCTCCTATTACCTCGCGTCTCCACCCCTACACCCAACCCACCCCTTCTCGTTATTGTCGCTGCTACGTCCTCTCTTTTTCTTCTCTTTTTGTTTCAATCATCACCACCATTAAAGCTTTCATGTGTGAGGTTTTTGATGGTTAAATTTAACCATGATAAATCTAAATCTAGTGTTTTTAAGGTTAAATTTAACTAAATAAAACCATAATTGTAGTTTTGAAAAGGTAAGTGTGGGGTTTTTCTGGGTGGTTTGGGGTTTTTAATTTGTCTGTGATTTGGACAGTGGCGGACCCAGGAATTTCCGACTGGTGAGTCACAATCGATAATCAAATATGTAAAAAAAAATTTCACAATGACATGTAAGGAGACATTTACTTCCTAAACTTGAAAATAAACAACACGATTGGAGACCAAATTAACTACAGCGGATGTAGCCTAAATACATATCAGTCAACAACATGTTTTACAGGATGATCAATAATTTTGAAGCAATGCCTCAAGGCGTAAAAGCAATCCCTTTTTGGCACTTCAATATGATTCAAGCATATGATCAGGAATAAACACGAATAACAATTGATTCACAATACAAGTATACAATTTTCCTAGCATGAAATAGACTCAAGAATTACAGAAATTGCCCAAATTAAAACCAAAATTACAGAGACTCACCCATATCCAGGCAAATTAACAATATACCAACTCTTGTTGATTAGAAAATGATTGATAAGCTGAGTCTTCCCTGCATATAAATTCAACAACCTAATCAAACACAAAGTTAACAAAACAAATGAAATCACAAGTATGAATCATATGCAAATAACCCCAACAGCGAATTACCCCTATTCATAATTGGTTGGACGGTTCATATTCAACTAAATCAAGCAATATTCCCCAGAAAAATTATTTACAAAGATCATCCAAATAGAAAATTGACAAGATTACAATACTAACTAATAATTAAAAAGCTTAAAATTGACAAGACTAAAATCAACAAACTAATATCTCCACTAGTCTATACGGAACTTCCAGCCGAATATGCGACTAGCACCACTAAGCACTAACCAGTCCAAACTGTAATCTAATTATAAATTTATAATCCTCCTTACACTAATAGTTTAATTGTTGTCTTATACAATGTCCGGCATCACATATTCACAATTTCACATAATGACATAAACAGATAAACTAATAAGTTCAATTTAACAGTCAAAACACAATTTACACAAATAATGCAAATTCAATGAACATTCACCGTATATACTAATTTTAAGAGACAAGTAATGCAAATTTGATCAAAAATTCACAAAAAAAAAAAAGAATCAATTGATGATTACCTACCTTGCTAGGAGGAGGCGGCAGGCGCTGAATGATTGAGGCGAGCAGCGGAGCAGGCGGAGCAGCACTGCAGCAGGGCCATGCCCAACACTCAGCAAGACAGCAAGTCAGCGACTAGGCACTGGAGCAGGCGACTAGGCGAGCAGCAGAGGACAGAGCACAGCTGCACAGAGCACTGGAGGCTGGAGCAAGCGACTAGGCGAGCAGCAGCCAGCAGGCCAGCAGCACAGCCAGCACTGGAGGCGTGAGCAAACTAGCGAAGAGCAGTAGATTATGAACAATTAGTCAATTAGGGATTGAGTTGATAACTAACATTTTACATTTCACAAATTCACAATTAGGGATTTAGGGTTCAAACATTTCACAAATTCACAATTCAGATAATGCAAAATTCTCTGAAATTGAGTTGATTATTGAACAATTAGGGATTTAGGGTTCAAATTTAGTATTACTAAATCATAATTCATAACTAACAACTAACAAGTAATATCAACAGTTAAATAAATAAATAAAAAAAAAGCCGAAAGATGAGTAGATGAGTAGATGACTAACCTGAAATTATGCGAAGAGGAAGATGAAGCGAACTAGCGAAGAGGAACTGAGGTATGAGGAAGAGGCGAAGAGGAAGATGCGAACTTGCGAAGAGGAAGAGGCGAACTGGCGAAGTGGGCTAGGGCGAAGTGGGCTAGGGCTAACTCAGACGTTAGAATTTTTTATTTTTATTTTTTTTTTATTTATTTTTTTTTTAAAAAAAAAAAACTTAAAATTTTTTTTGGGCCCTGGTGAGTCACTTGACCCACCAGGCACAAGCCCAGGTCCGCCACTGGATTTGGAGTTTGCAGTGGTTGTGTTGTGGTTCGTGCCTTCATGGTTAGTGAGGTGGTGAGGTTCGTGGTGTTGATTCAGCTTTTGTTATTTTAATACTCCGTATTAGTTATAGATTAGATGGTTTAAACGCCTCTCGTGTTAGGCCTACACATTTTGGGCTTGACTAGGCCCAACCCTATATTTGAGTTCACTCGCTATCTCATCGGCTGATGGAAGATGGCAACGGAGAGTCGGAGATGATTTCGTCCAACCACCCTTACTCGGATAGCGAGATTGAAAAGAAAAATAGCTATTTTGAAAGTGAGAATCTAGAATAGTTAGTCATCTAAATATTAGCTAATAGCTATTTTGAAAGCTAAGATCTAGAATGGATACTTGATTAAGAATACCATACATTCTTTGCATAATCCATCATTATTTACATTACAAACAAGTAACAAATACTGATGTTTATAATACATGCTGTGACAAATCCAACAAGATCCATCAAAATACGGAGAAACAATAGGAGGCAAAGGAAGTACATACTAATGTTCATTGTAGTATTATTCGTAAATTTCATGATGATGTAGGAAACTTAGTAAAGCTATCATCATCGCTTAAGCACGCTTATGAGCACGAAGATCTTTGAAATAAGATCTAGGTATCCTTTCAAAATTGCCCAAATTAAAACCAAAATTACAGAGACTCACCCATATCCAGGCAAATTAACAATATACCAACTCTTGTTGATTAGAAAATGATTGATAAGCTGAGTCTTCCCTGCATATAAATTCAACAACCTAATCAAACACAAAGTTAACAAAACAAATGAAATCACAAGTATGAATCATATGCAAATAACCCCAACAGCGAATTATCCCTAATCATAATTGGTTGGACGGTTCATATTCAACTAAATCAAGCAATATTCCCCAGAAAAATTATTTACAAAGATCATCCAAATAGAAAATTGACAAGATTACAATACTAACTAATAATTAAAAAGCTTAAAATTGACAAGACTAAAATCAACAAACTAATATCTCCACTAGTCTATACGGAACTTCCAGCCGAATATGCGACTAGCACCACTAAGCACTAACCAGTCCAAACTGTAATCTAATTATAAATTTATAATCCTCCTTACACTAATAGTTTAATTGTTGTCTTATACAATGTCCGTCATCACATATTCACAATTTCACATAATGACATAAACAGATAAACTAATAAGTTCAATTTAACAGTCAAAACACAATTTACACAAATAATGCAAATTCAATGAACATTCACCGTATATACTAATTTTAAGAGACAAGTAATGCAAATTTGATCAAATATTCACAAAAAAAAAAGAATCAATTGATGATTACCTACCTTGCTAGGAGGAGGCGGCAGGCGCTGAATGATTGAGGCGAGCAGCGGAGCAGGCGGAGCAGCACTGCAGCAGGGCCATGCCCAACACTCAGCAAGACAGCAAGTCAGCGACTAGGCACTGGAGCAGGCGACTAGGCGAGCAGCAGAGGACAGAGCACAGCTGCACAGAGCACTGGAGGCTGGAGCAAGCGACTAGGCGAGCAGCAGCCAGCAGGCCAGCAGCACAGCCAGCACTGGAGGCGTGAGCAAACTAGCGAAGAGCAGTAGATTATGAACAATTAGTCAATTAGGGATTGAGTTGATAACTAACATTTTACATTTCACAAATTCACAATTAGGGATTTAGGGTTCAAACATTTCACAAATTCACAATTCAGATAATGCAAAATTCTCTGAAATTGAGTTGATTATTGAACAATTAGGGATTTAGGGTTCAAATTTAGTATTACTAAATCATAATTCATAACTAACAACTAACAAGTAATATTAACAATTAAATAAATAAATAAAAGAAAAGCCGAAAGATGAGTAGATGAGTAGATGACTAACCTGAAATTATGCGAAGAGGAAGATGAAGCGAACTAGCGAAGAGGAACTGAGGTCTGAGGAAGAGGCGAAGAGGAAGATGCGAACTTGCGAAGAGGAAGAGGCGAACTGGCGAAGTGGGCTAGGGCGAAGTGGGCTAGGGCTAACTCAGACGTTAGAATTTTTTATTTTTATTTTTTTTTTATTTATTTTTTTTTTTTAAAAAAAAAACCTTAAAATTTTTTTTGGGCCCTAGTGAGTCACTTGACCCACCAGGCACAAGCCCAGGTCCGCCACTGGATTTGGAGTTTGCAGTGGTTATGTTGTGGTTCGTGCCTTCATGGTTAGTGAGGTGGTGAGGTTCGTGGTGTTGATTCAACTTTTGTTATTTTAATACTCCGTATTAGTTATAGATTAGATGGTCTAAACGCCTCTCGTGTTAGGCCTACACATTTTGGGCTTGACTAGGCCCAACCCTATATTTGAGTTCACTCGCTATCTCATCGGCTGATGGAAGATGGCAACGGAGAGTCGGAGATAATTTCGTCCAACCACCCTTACTCGGATAGCGAGATTGAAAAGAAAAATAGCTATTTTGAAAGTGAGAATCTAGAATAGTTAGTCATATAAATATTAGCTAATAGCTATTTTGAAAGCTAAGATCTAGAATGGATACTTGATTAAGAATACCATACATTCTTTGCATAATCCATCATTATTTACATTACAAACAAGTAACAAATACTGATGTTTATAATACATGCTGTGACAAATCCAACAAGATCCATCAAAATACGGAGAAACAATAGGAGGCAAAGGAAGTACATACTAATGTTCATTGTAGTATTATTCGTAAATTTCATGATGATGTAGGAAACTTAGTAAAGCTATCATCATCGCTTAAGCACGCTTATGAGCACGAAGATCTTTGAAATAAGATCTAGGTATCCTTTCAAAATTGCCCAAATTAAAACCAAAATTACAGAGACTCACCCATATCCAGGCAAATTAACAATATACCAACTCTTGTTGATTAGAAAATGATTGATAAGCTGAGTCTTCCCTGCATATAAATTCAACAACCTAATCAAACACAAAGTTAACAAAACAAATGAAATCACAAGTATGAATCATATGCAAATAACCCCAACAGCGAATTACCCCTATTCATAATTGGTTGGACGGTTCATATTCAACTAAATCAAGCAATATTCCCCAGAAAAATTATTTACAAAGATCATCCAAATAGAAAATTGACAAGATTACAATACTAACTAATAATTAAAAAGCTTAAAATTGACAAGACTAAAATCAACAAACTAATATCTCCACTAGTCTATACGGAACTTCCAGCCGAATATGCGACTAGCACCACTAAGCACTAACCAGTCCAAACTGTAATCTAATTATAAATTTATAATCCTCCTTACACTAATAGTTTAATTGTTGTCTTATACAATGTCCGGCATCACATATTCACAATTTCACATAATGACATAAACAGATAAACTAATAAGTTCAATTTAACAGTCAAAACACAATTTACACAAATAATGCAAATTCAATGAACATTCACCGTATATACTAATTTTAAGAGACAAGTAATGCAAATTTGATCAAAAATTCACAAAAAAAAAAAGAATCAATTGATGATTACCTACCTTGCTAGGAGGAGGCGGCAGGCGCTGAATGATTGAGGCGAGCAGCGGAGCAGGCGGAGCAGCACTGCAGCAGGGCCATGCCCAACACTCAGCAAGACAGCAAGTCAGCGACTAGGCACTAGAGCAGGCGACTAGGCGAGCAGCAGAGGACAGAGCACAGCTGCACAGAGCACTGGAGGCTGGAGCAAGCGACTAGGCGAGCAGCAGCCAGCAGGCCAGCAGCACAGCCAGCACTGGAGGCGTGAGCAAACTAGCGAAGAGCAGTAGATTATGAACAATTAGTCAATTAGGGATTGAGTTGATAACTAACATTTTACATTTCACAAATTCACAATTAGGGATTTAGGGTTCAAACATTTCACAAATTCACAATTCAGATAATGCAAAATTCTCTGAAATTGAGTTGATTATTGAACAATTAGGGATTTAGGGTTCAAATTTAGTATTACTAAATCATAATTCATAACTAACAACTAACAAGTAATATCAACAGTTAAATAAATAAATAAAAAAAAAAGCCGAAAGATGAGTAGATGAGTAGATGACTAACCTGAAATTATGCGAAGAGGAAGATGAAGCGAACTAGCGAAGAGGAACTGAGGTCTGAGGAAGAGGCGAAGAGGAAGATGCGAACTTGCGAAGAGGAAGAGGCGAACTGGCGAAGTGGGCTAGGGCGAAGTGGGCTAGGGCTAACTCAGACGTTAGAAGTTTTTATTTTTATTTTTTTTTATTTATTTTTTTTTTTAAAAAAAAAACTTAAAATTTTTTTTGGGCCCTGGTGAGTCACTTGACCCACCAGGCACAAGCCCAGGTCCGCCACTGGATTTGGAGTTTGCAGTGGTTGTGTTGTGGTTCGTGCCTTCATGGTTAGTGAGGTGGTGAGGTTCGTGGTGTTGATTCAGCTTTTGTTATTTTAATACTCCGTATTAGTTATAGATTAGATGGTCTAAACGCCTCTCGTGTTAGGCCTACACATTTTGGGCTTGACTAGGCCCAACCCTATATTTGAGTTCACTCGCTATCTCATCGGCTGATGGAAGATGGCAACGGAGAGTCGGAGATGATTTCGTCCAACCACCCTTACTCGGATAGCGAGATTGAAAAGAAAAATAGCTATTTTGAAAGTGAGAATCTAGAATAGTTAGTCATATAAATATTAGCTAATAGCTATTTTGAAAGCTAAGATCTAGAATGGATACTTGATTAAGAATACCATACATTCTTTGCATAATCCATCATTTTTTACATTACAAACAAGTAACAAATACTGATGTTTATAATACATGCTGTGACAAATCCAACAAGATCCATCAAATTACGGAGAAACAATAGGAGGCAAAGGAAGTACATACTAATGTTCATTGTAGTATTATTCGTAAATTTCATGATGATGTAGGAAACTTAGTAAAGCTATCATCATCGCTTAAGCACGCTTATGAGCACGAAGATCTTTGAAATAAGATCTAGGTATCCTTTCAAAGGAAGATCTTGAAATTACTTTGCCACCCATACCAGGAGCCTTCATCATCTTCGACGATTTTTTGGAGCAACAACATGACCATAGAAGTAAAAGACCAAGCCCGGCTATCATATAAAAGGTGTAGCCAAAGCTAGCCATCTAGCCCGGGTTTCCGGCGAGCAGACCTTGTCGAGTAGGGCGACGAGGAGGACTTGGAGAAAGTTGAGCGATTCATTCAGTTGGAGGAAGATCATGTTTAACAAGTCATTTGGTGAAGATGGTAAGGATGAGGCATATTGTTTTAGTTTGAAGAGGACATGTTCTGACATGCTTTATTTTTTCATCTAATGAAGGGTCAATTATATGATTTATAGTATGTATCAATTAGTCATTAATATTTAATAGGAGTGGCAAAAGAGTTTCTTCTTTTTTGTATAATAAGGCTTGGAACATTCAAGGAGGCTAGAATAATGGCCAAACTCTCAATCCACCAAATTTTCCCACCCCCACGTTGGATATTAAACAATTTGAAGTAGACTTGTCAAATACTTGTAAGGACACTTTAGTAATCCTTATGTTTTGAAAACACTGATACCTTCTTTTTTTTTGAAATTGTTTTAGAATAATCGACACATTATCATAAATGGTAAATGGTAAGGGACCACCACTATTCAATTAAATATATTTATATACTCGTATCTATCATATATTCATACTTAACAAGACACACAAACTTTTCTTCCTAGCCTCTCACATGTCCCCTTTTTTGATACGTAGTATATAAATTAAATTAAATCTGCTAACTTAGTGTCGGACATTACATGTTTAGTTTTACCGTCTTTTTATTTATTATTTTAGGAAAAATAAGTTTTTAATATAAGTGTAGGCAAAATAAGTTTTGTTAAGATTTGATAAGGGTTATTCAATATAAGTGTAGGCAAAATTTGACATTTTACAATTTTCAAAACAAGTGTTGTAATATGAATATCTTCAATTATATACGTGTAAAAATTAATCCCTCTGTTCTTAGATATCTTCAATTATTGTAGACTTTGTAGCAATTATAAAGGATATAAGCATAAGATAGATATGTTCTCTTCCGGAAAGAGGGAAAAAAAATTAATGAAATTTGCATCAATATTCAACATCCTTTTCCCTTCTCTAATCTGCTCTGATCTATGCTTTAATCTAAGCTAGCTTTATGTATAGAGCTTCAACCCTAATTAAATGGATATCTTCTTCTTTAAAACACTAAACCTTAAATGTCCTGCCTCCTTACATCGACTCTTAGCATTATTTCTTGGGCAATTAGATGCATAATTTCGAGTAACATCGACAACATAGCCCCAAGATGATTTTGCTTTATTCTTGTGTTCTTGTTGATTAAAGAGGCTTTTGCCAAACATGAGCTTCAACACACCCCATGCTAACATTCCTAACCCTGCAACCGCTGCCCCGGCCATGCCGATGTTTTTTACCATAATGCTACTCCCTTCTCCTTCACCCACAACTTTGTTTTAGCAACATAACATCTCTTGCTTAATAAGTTCACCCACCTATATTAATAACCAAAATTGGACAAAGACATTGAAGTAATTGAAAATGGAGATAGACTTATATATAATAATTGAGAGATAGTGATGTACTATGAGAACCGTCTCATACAAGACTTACTTTAATTGCCAAGCATAGCTAGCTAGATTGAATTAAATCAAATTTTTAAAAAAGTTGGCTTCAAAATAATAATCTCTTCGTTTCATTTCTTCCAAAAATAAAGATCAAATAAATCTCTTTGTTTGTGAAGAAGGTTACACTAAGCTTATTAAGGTCAAAGTTTGGAATTGACTAGATATTGTACATCAATGTATAACTTAATACGTGTAGGTTGGATCTGGTAAATTCGGGTTCAGTCACTTTCAGATTTGTTGCCAATTAAATATATGAAATATGCATCAACTTCAACCATATTCATTTTCAAGTCGATCTATTCAAGATGAGTTAGTTCAGTTGTTTAATGTACAATTTGGGTTATGAAATTGTGGTTGTGCAATCCAAGTTACCATAACTCAATTCCCTTAAAAACCCGAGTTTAGATCCCAAGGATGCCAATTCATTAGCCATTTTGTTGTCATCTCTTCCAATGAGTTCGACCTGAGTCCAAGGACTAATCGAATTCCCTTGGTTGAGGTGCTTTTGCTTTATCCTTGTCTTCGTCTTTATCTGCAGAGCTTTCACCAGACATGAGCTTGTACATACCCCATGCTAACATTGCTACTCCAGCAACCGCGGCTCCAGCCATACCGATGTTTTCAGCCAAGCTACTACCTCCCTCTCCATCATACTCTTCTCTTATGCTGCTGAATGATGATTTCTCTTGACTTATAAGCTCAGACACCTGTTACCATTAATTGAGCAAAGAAATGGATAAACTTGATTCACATAGTACTTGTATATGAATTTTTTTTTTTTTTTTTTCCCACTACTATAATTAAACCTTTATGGTTTTTTTGGTCCAGTATTTACAGGTTATACACCTGAGAATTTGGTAAGATATAAGATATAAGGTAAGAAACTTACCAAGTGAGTCAATACTTTGTTGTTACTTGTATATGAATTTGTTGAACAAGTTATTTTTAGATGTACTTCATACTTTGTATTTCGTATATAATATTGTCTACTTTCTGCGTTTCATGATTTTTTCAAATTTAATTTTTATGTGTTGAAGATTGATGATATAATTGGTACAGTAGTTAAAATATTATAGAAGAAAAACACCTAAATTGTGATTGTAGGATTTGTTCCATGTAAAGTTTCTAAAAATCAAACTTTTATGAGACGATATAAAATGCAAAAGAGAAGGATATATACTCCCTCCGTTTATTTTTAATTGCAACTTTTGCTATTTTAGTCCGTTTAAAATTAATTGCAACTTTCTATTTTATTTCTATTTTGGGTAAACAAAAACCTAGTAAATTACTATTTTACCCTTATTTTCCCACTACTTTCCCAAGTGGTGGGCCAAACTTTCTCTCTCTACACACTTTAATCACCTTTAATTAACCCCACTACTACATACCCCTTAACTTTTGCCTCGTGAACCGCAATTCCAACCAAAGTTGCAATTAAAAATAAATGAAGGGAGTATTACGATGTAATAAAGTAAATAAACGAATAGAAAACTTTTATGTTAAAAAGTTTGACATAATCAATTCTTATATGACTTATTATTTTCTTTATTTTTAGTGGTTTGCTATGATTTGATCTGTTCTGAATCTCGCTAATCTAATCAAATTTTATTGATATTGTCTGAAATTATTGTTGATTTTTGCATAGTTTGACCTGATTAACAATAAGAACAATATGATTCCAATAAAACATTAGTCAACCATACAAAAGTTGGCATCAAAATTATTAACATAAGAAGAGGCAAAATAGTTGCTCCTAAATTAGACTATAAGAGATCATCAACACACCTGAGGAGGAAGGTCAGCATCGGTGGCATAGAACATACGGACCCCTTCTTGAAGCCTGTTACACCCCCAAGACGCCAACTTATCTGCAACTCGATTAGCTTCTCTATCAATGATCAAAATATTCTGACCATCGATCATTCCAATAATTTGTTGAATGATCCTGCTTAACGGCGGTTTAGATGTCCTTCGACTTCGCTCCAACACATGATCAATGACCTCCGTATTATCCCCTTTAATGATATTAATGTTAAGGTTGTGATCTTTCGCCAACTTCAATCCGTTACGTAGTGCAACAGCTTCAACAATAGCAACGTTGCAATTGTCAGGATAAGTTTCAGTAAGATTATAGGCTGCAGCAACAACCAATTCTCCTTGGCTATCTCTTATAACACAGCCAGCACCAGATTTGTTAGCTTGATTATTATATGATCCATCAAAATTAAGTGTGTACATTTTACCATATGTACTCCTGCCCAAGATTGACCATTGATTATTATTGCTCATCTTTTCGAATTTTAGAGTTTTGGTTGATTGTTTGAGAGTTTTGGTTGATTTTTGGATGTTGAATTGGTGCTAATTAGCATTTACTTATAGTACTACTAGAGGAGTATTTTCTTAGTGAAATGGTCCAAAGGTCCAATAATCAAGTATTATTCTTAAAAGAAAAGGATGAGAATAATAAATGCACAAATTCAATTTTAACCTAGTTTTCATTTTCCAAGTCTCTAGAAAAATGAAAAATTATGTACAAAAAAAAATATATACATCAAATTTCTAATAAATTTTATTTGCACATTTAGTTATAAAATTTGCACATTCAACACCATAAATCTAATAAATCTTGACCAGTGTTCGATTCCCCGCAATAATAATTGAGAAGAGACTGAGAGAGTGAGGGATAGCTCAAGTGGTTAGAGCTTCCTTCTCGATTTCAGGAGATCCTGAGATCGATTCTCACCCCCGCCCTTGTGGCTCTCTAAACACCAAAAAATAATAATTAAGAAGAGACTGGAACTTAATCACCTAGATTTGATCCCGAATCCGAATTAGCCCAAAGGTTGAACCAAGTGGAAAAAAATAAAAAATAAATAAAAAGTAAATTTTCATATGATAAAGCAGGTTGCCTATTTAAATTGTTTAAAAATAATTAAACCACTTCCCAATAGGATAAATGTTACTTCATACGAAGTACTTTATTTATGTTCCACTCTTCCTCTAGTATTTAATAATGTGATCAATTCAAGTGTTGCAATTATAATAAAATGGAGGTATTGGAGGAAGTATTAACTTTACAAGAAGAAGAAAAAAATGGGAAAATATATATATATATATATATATATATACATATACTGCTTTTCATTCAAGCCTACCATGAAAGCAACAAAGTATTGATCTACAGGGAAAAAATACATGGCAGATAGACATTAGGACCTGAAAAAATGATGGCAACAACTAAGACAAGCCAATATCAATAAATAGCAAACCAAAGATTGAATAATAACCGCAGATAATCCCATTTCCTATTCTTTTTCCCCCTATATTCTAGGTTGCCTAAGCTATGTGTCATCTATTTTGCCAAAATTTATCCTTCATGTTAGATATCAGCTTGAACTTTTCTTCAGCTTCAACTTGCTGTCGCAAGTCAGTTGTTGACATCCTATCCGGGTGGAATTTTAAACAAGCTCGTTTATACGCAGCTTGGACCTGACAACATAACATCCAATTCTTCATGAAATTACAGATTGAAAATAGACAAGAAGCAGGGCATGAAATCTATAGTAAAAGGTAATTTAAGAATTTTTTTTTTTAAAAGGAAACATTACCTCGTTTGGAGAAGGGTACAGACTACCACCAACATGGATGCCTAAACACCGAAGCAGTGAGGCCATGTCACTGCACATAGCCTCAATTCTATGCAGTTCCTTCTTTATCTCCACACGATGTTTTTCTTTCAAGTTCAAGTTCTCCTCATCCTGCAAAGACAAAATTTAATTAAGGCTAAAATAAATACTCCGTATAAAAATACCATCACATAGTAAGAAGTATTACAAAACAAGAGGAGCACATTTGACCCAACAAATGCAATGAACCATAAGCTCATCCAACATAAACCAAGGCGAACGCTGCAGTGCTCAAGCTAAGTAGAAAAACATTCCTGCGACCACAATTAATTATCTAATCTGCAATCCAAGAAAAAGAAAGCATACCTTTCTACGTATCTGCCGAATTTCCTCCACACGCTGCTTTTGTCTTCTTTCATTTATCATTATGCGCATATCTGCCTTTTTTCTGTTCCTTAGCCTCCGTGCTTCCTCAGCCTAAGGAAATAAACAAGCACCCATTTCATGCACCATTTACAGTATAGCTTTAAACAAGCAGCTTGTATTGGGTAAAATAAAATGGGTAATGCTATATGTAGCCCTAAGGGCTAAGAATAAGCATTTAATATCTTTCATAATTTGGTATTAATTTAGGGATGCATGACAAAATCACGCACAAATCAATGTAATTAATGTTATGATTTCATTTGTTTTTTCCATTTTTAGCTACTTATATGTAGCCCTAAGGGCTATGCACAAATTGGCAACAAATACATACTACAGGATAGGGGCCAATCATTTAAAATAAATTAACAGGTGACTGGAAAGGAAAAAAAAAAAAAGGCCCCTAAATAAAAGAATTGTAGAGAAATCTTACAAAAATAAAAAATCAGAATAAGGATTTCTTCAAACATACACTAGTACGAAGTACGTACTTATGGAACAGAATGAGAAAAGGAACGGGAGAAGAGTTATGTTACGACATAGCATGTGAAAATTGGAATTGCACTAATATAGACTTGTTTAGGGTGAGAAACCAGGAGAAAAAAAAAAAATTCCAAACCCATTAATGCCTCCAGGGAAAAAAATATTTGATCACTAGCTCTAATAATATTTTAACAATGTTCCAACTCTAGTGTGCACACAATATATATGTATGGTTTCCAAAAAATTTCCTCCATCATTTACATCCATCAAAACACAATACCTTTCCCCAGCTCGAAATAATATTTCAGCACGAATTATACTACTCCCTCCGAATTTTATTACTTGTTCCACTTTCCTTTAGTAGCCGTATTTTATTATTTGCTCCATTTCCTTTTTCTGAAACTTTTTAACAATATTTTACTGTTTTCCTCCCCACTAGTAGAGTCCCCTCATGTCATATTTTAATATTTTTCATATTCTCTCTCTTCCCACTTATACTCACTTTTGCTTTTCTAGATTTTTTTATTCTTTAACCAACCCCACTTCCATCATAAATAATAGATTTTCTACTATTCCTCCTAAAGCTCTGAGTCCGGAGAAATAGAACAAGTAATAAAATACGGAGGGAGCATGAGAATTTGTCCAAAACAATACAACTCATGTATCCACATTAGTTGTCCAAGAATATTTTTATAATCTCTTATTTAAATTATTTATGCCACAATCACCACTTCCAGGTGAGGTAGAAAAAACAAACGAAGATTATAAACAAACTAAACCAAACAATACTCAACCCAATAGGTCATTATTAGTTAAGCCATCAGCTTTAGGCATTGGGCTTGATTTGGAATCAAATACATGAACAAGCCTTGCTAGTTATTGGATTATAAAATAAATTTGCAAAACCCCATGCTTCCTGCTTCGTTCTCTCTTTTTCCCCTACTCACAGTAAATCTCTTTTCCCCTCCCTTATAAATTTGTCTTCTCAACCCAATTTCTTTGCAACAAACTAATTTTATACAACTAACTGAGTTCAGCACTTCAGCTCGTCAAAAAGGGATGCATGGCAGCATTAATGGGAGACTTCCTATAGCATTGGCCCACAATTGGCCACACAAAAATTATCATCACATGGACATACTGATACTTTGTATGTTCATTGAAATCTTAGGCAACCTTATTCCAAATAAGGTGGCCTGGGAAAAACAGCCCTGCACAAAGCAATGGTGGGTTGACATGGAAAAGAGAAACAAAATGATTCTAAGATTTTACTCAAATCTATCACTTTCTTGGGTTTGGAGTAAACGTTTAGATGATTGAAAATCTGGGTTTTAAAAGCATACTGCTCCTCCCTCCATCCCTAGACAAATGACCATATATCCCAAAATTCTTATCCCAAATTAAAAGCCTCATTTCTCATTTGAGTGGGATTCATCGTCCACTAACTTATATTCACTTTTAAATAATAAAACCTATCTAATTCAGCAATTCAAATATATTTTTTTCCAACTTACCCTAAAACAATAAACTAATCTCACTACCCTTTTTTCTATTCAGCTTCAATCAACAATTCCCCGCTACAATTCCTCTCCTAAAACTTCACGCCAAGGAGAAATGGGGCTTTTATTTATTGTTTCCAAAAATTAGACATGGGTTTACTTAATTCATATGCCACCATTGAAGATTTGGTAAATCAGACACCCCGAATGGAGCTGGCAACTTGAATAAGAGAGCAATAATGTTATTCTCCCATTTTGATTCGCTTTCCATATTGAGCCGTTTCAAAAAGTTTGACTCACATCTACTTTGTTTCCTTTTATTGAAAAACCCTTTTTACTGTCTTGCTTCTTCTACCCAACACTATTTATACCTTTTCACACTTTCTTAACTTTTTTTCTTACACACACCCACTATTTTACATTCTCTTACTTCATCCACATTTTTCCTACACTTCACTTTTTATATGCAATCCTAGAAACAAGAGTCTACAGCGAGTCAAACTACAAATTAAATCAGCTATACATAGTATTCATCTTAATGAAACATATCAATTTATTCTCATCACAATAATAAAGGAGTCCTGACTATATGGTTATAATCACCCCCCACACAGAATAAGAAAAACCTCTACCAAATAATATTGTAGTTAAAACTAAAAACTCAAGACACAAGGAGGAAAGCCTTTAAATTAATGGAATCTGAATCTCAAGCAATGTGACCTACTTTCAGAAAACAGAAAAAATCAGGTCGAATTCTCCCCATAAAAGCAACCATAATCAACATTACCCATGCAGGCCATTTTCCAACACTTCCTGCAGCACATAATAAGTGAATCCCTTGGTGTAATCATTAGCAGATCTAATCATTTTATCATGGACAATCCCTAAACTTCTAATGCTCTCAGAATTCACTACAAATTCATAAAAAACATAAAGCAGACCTCAAAGGGTGGCCTTGATCATAGCTTTTATAGCTGGGATGCGGGTGTAATCGGATATAGGAACCTCCGCATGTATATAGGAGCACACGTATAAAAAATCTTGCAGACAAACAATAGTGGAAAAGGGTCAATGTAGGTCCAACAAATCATAATACGAAATCCGTATTTTGTTGGCCTACGCCAATAAATTACTAATAAAATTCAATAAAACACTATTGATGTCGGTCATAGAAATGACATTAAGATCTACAAACCATTTCACAATAAATAGCCCTCACCAAGAGATCTAAGAAGGGATGAAAGTCTCCATTTTCACTAATGGAGCACTAATTCTTAGAAAGCTGTAAAAGAAACCCTACAATACAATACTACAATCACATCACTGCAAACCCTCAATATGTCTTGACACTTAAACTACAAATTCCTCATCACTAATATTATGGAACACACAATGGTGAATTGGAGACAAATTTCTGAAAAAGATGAAACTCAAAAATCTACATCCTTGCTTAAAGGTGATTGAGAAGGTTATGACTGGCACACAAGATTGTTCATAGACCACCACAGTCATCAATAATTCAGATTCTTCTCCATCACAAAACGTATCATTGTTCAATAAAAAATAGCCACAAGAAATGCTTAACAGCCTAGTAGATCTGGAGACATAATATAACCCAACTCAATGGATGATGGAATTATATTATACCTAATTCATTAATGGAAAATGCCATACATAGCCCTTAGGGCTACATATAAGGAGCTAAAACTGGGGGGGAAAAAAATAAAAATATAGCATTAACTACACTGATTTGCGCGTGATTTATTCATGCATTCCTAAACTAAAACCAAATTAGGAAAGATCTTTAATATATAACCTATTCAAACAAACCTGCGCAGTTACTCATCGAAAGTCAGATTTTGTTCAGTTCATCAATTAATCATACTCAATGGTTCACACCCTTGTCATACGTAATCGCTGATAGTTCCAAAAATTAGATGTTTACAATGAGCATACCTGAATTAACAACTGCTGCTGCCTAGCTGCAAGTTCTTCCGCCATAGCAAGCTTGTACTCATCAGTCTCCTTGATCTTCTGTCTATCAGTAATTATGTTATTTTGGTCAGAAGAAGACACTACTTCATTTCCACAGCTAGCATTGTGATCTGATTGCACAAAAACGATTTCTGCACCTTGTCCATCAGACAAAGCAACATGATCATCCATACCATCTTGAGAGGGCCCCTTAGTTACAGCAGCAGAATACTCTTTGCTAAACACTTCATTTGTCAAATTACCATCACAATCCAGCCCAGTAAACTTCAAATCTTCAGCATTTTTTCCATTAGCAGACATAAAACCACTCACAGACTCTGGAGTTTCAACTGTACTATTTTCAGCAGTATGGTGAACAGCACTTTCAGGGGTCAAAGCACCACCTCTTTCTATATCATCAAAACTAGAATTAATACAATCGACACGAGTCCTAGGAAATTGTCCATCCATCTCCATAGGATGATAATCCTGCTCTGAAGACTCACTTTCGTTGGAAATTTTCTGGGAAGAACCAGCAAATACACCATCACCGTCTTGACTAACAGAACAATTTCTTGCATTGCTTTGCTGACCTGGGGGGTCAGCACTATCATAAACAGGATGAGCGGGTGCTGAAGTACCAGCTTCATCTTCAAAATTAGGAGGAGCACGGCTAGCGTTACGTCTTCTTCTTAAAAAGGCCTTCTCCCACTGTTCACGAAGCTTATTCGAAGATCCTTCCATCAACTCACAGTCGGAGCAGTCACTTTCAGATGAACAGCCCCCTTCAGAATCAGGACCTAGTCCATACCGATTTCTAGGAATACTTTTTCCAGAGTAAGTTCGCTTGGACTTAGAGAGCTTTACAGGAGGAGTATTTCCTTCATTAACATCCTCGTTAACATAATGACTCGTTGAAGGGTCAGCTGCTTCTGTTGGGAAGCATCTATTGCTTGAAGTCGCATCACTATGTGTATGACAAGCCCCATCCCTGCTTCCACCAGCACCACCACCATCATCATCATCATCGATGCTAATTACATGCTTTGGTCTTTTCCTGAATTTTTTATGGAAAGACTCAGGCACGTCGTCGAGGATGATAACTTCGCTAATATCATCAGTGCCAACTTCAATAAGGACAATGTTTTCCCTTTTCCTACTCGTGCATTCTTTCAAAATTCTTTTACTGAAACACGATTTAGGCATATAATGGTCACTGACAGCCTGAGGAGCCCCCATTTGTCTTCCTAAGAAACACAAGAAAAAGACATAAGAATTTGACAAAGCTTATCTATAATTTACAAATCAATGCCGAGGACTTGGCAACATCAGTGGCAAATTCCAAACATAATTTCACAGTCTCAAGACCATTTTGATAATCATAGAAAACCGACAACTAATTACAATTCGTATCACTGTTAATCTCTTACTCCATTTACCCCATTCATAAACACACGCATGCACGCACACGGGCACACAAATGCTTATTATGGTATTTTCTAAGTTTTAAGATCACCAACAATCTAACAATTTCACAAACATAGAATTCGACAACTAATTACAATTCGTATCACCATTAATCTGTTAATCCATTTACCCCATTCATAAACACACGCATGCACGCACACGCGCGCACACATGTCAATTATGGTATTTTCTAAGTTCTAACATCACCAACAATGTCACAATTTCACAGTCCAAAGCCCAAAGGCCAATTTGACAAACACAGAATTCGACAACTAATTACAATTCGTGTCGCTGTTAATTTCTTACTCCATTTGCCTCATTCGTAAACACACACAAACGCGCACACACACTGTTTTCTAAGTTCTAACATCACCAACAATCTCACAGATACTCTAATATACGGAGTATCATCACATAATACAAAATACACTTAACAGTATTAGCAAAAACAGTAATTAAAATCGAAGAAAAGAATCACAAAACTAACATCAGAAAAAAAAAAAAAAAAAAAAAAAAAAAAAAAAAAAAAACCCAAGAATAACACAAATTCTGGCAAAAAAATATTCAACTTGAAACCCTAAAATCGTAAATTACGACTAAGTCAAACAAACAGTTTCAATCCCCAATTACAAAACACGAAAATCAAAAGAAAAATCAAAATTCCAAACAAATATAAATCAAATCAGAAGCCTAATTTGAGATAGGAATCAAACAATTAAAAAATTACCAGTGATGAAGAATCGCAATTCACAAGTTTCTTCCCAAAATCAATCGAAAAATCATGAATCTAAAGAGTAGAAGAGAGAAAGTAGGAGAGAGAAGAAAAAAAGGGAAAATTGGATGAGGGTAATTGTTATATTTGAAATTGGGGAAGAAAAATGTTGGTCGCCATAACCAGAAGAGGAGAGAGAAAGAGGCGTTGGGAGTGACGTAGAAGTTTAGGGATTAAAATAAAAATAAAAATAAAATTAAATTAAATAACGAAAGAAAGGTGAGTGGTAAATAGTAGTGGGATTATAGGGTCGGTGATTTTGCGGGTTTATGACATAAATAATAAATTGACCGCTGAACATGTTTCAAACGGAAATTTTTTTTATTGGATTTTGCCGCGTGACTCGAATTGCCCGACCTGGTCCATATAACCCAGCCTGGCACAGGCAAGTTGTTGCCCCGGCCCGACACAATTTGCACTGGACCTGGTAATTTAGAACAAAGGCACGCTCCAGCCATAGGGCCCATAGAAGTACGAAATGGCCCATGGAGTAGCGCACGGCTCAGCCCATAAATAGGCCTGTAAGCCTTCCCATCATAATTATTAGGGGTGAGCAAAGAAACAGGGTACCCGATTTTAAAACTGGAACCGATTTAGACCCGGCGGGTCTGGACCCAAAACTGGTTCAACTGGTTCCAAGTCCAGTTCCAAAAAAGAGGACCTGATTAAAACTAATTCCAATTCTAAATCCTGAATTTTTGGACTTGGTACCCACTGGGTACCCGGTTTGACCATGTCCAAAAGAGTACCCGCTCCCAAATCAATTAAATCATGTACCAATGTTAGGATTAGGCTTTTTTATAAAATAAAAAAAATAACTCAAGAATTTTCTATAGCCCCAAATAATTAATAAGCCCAATCCCATACAGATCTTTAACCCTTTTGTTAACAAACCCTAAAAACACTCTAAGCTCTCAGCCTCCCACGTCTTTCCCTCATTCCTAATCTTCCTGTCACACTATTCCTTTCCTATTCCTCAGTCAATCCTCACACATCACTCCAATGCTCGTCATTCGTTGCACATTCATTTTTCGATTTGACTAGTTTTTTGCTCTTATTCTTTCATTTTCTAAGGTCGATAGTCTAGAGGTATCTTTTTTATTTGTTATATATTTTTTTTTTCAAGATATGATAATTCAATCTTTGGGAAAGGAGGTATATAGTAGGGGTAAGCATGGGATGGGTACCCATACCGTTAGTACTAACGGTTCGGGTAACCGATAATCAATATCACTAAAAGTGATATCCATAAACCGAACCAATAAGTTCGGGTACCCGCATTTTCAGATCGGTTATCGGGTACCCAATAAGATATCCAATAATGATAATTAACTTAATAATGCAGTAATTACTGATATAATTTAACACTAATTAACAACAATACCATATGATCTTAACCAAATTATTAATAATATTACTAATTTTTGATATTATAAAGTGATTATGAAGTAAAGTAGAGTTTAGATTTTGGAAAAATAGATTTGAGTAGGAAAAAAAACTAAAAATTGCTTATCGGATCGGATCGGGTAACCATTAATTTTAAAATGATACCCAATAACCATACACGATAACAAATTATCAGAACGGGTATCCGAACCATTATGGTTATTGGATTGGGTCCCTAATTTTTTCGAAACGGTTACGGATCGGGTTTTCGATTTTTCGGGTAGTTTTGCTCAGCCCTACTATGTAATATCAACTTTGTGGGATTTCGATTTACAAAGTGAATTTGTGATTACAATCTTAATTTTGGTACGAAAATGATATCTATTATCTAATTGATGTATTCATTTTCGATCATTGCTTAGCTAATTTACTTATTTTTCTGATTATTATCGCTGGTTAAGGGAATTAAATCAGATTTAAAATATTGAAAAAAAATTGAATAAATGCACCGGGTACCCGGTTCCTACCACTTTCGGGACCAGCTCCATATATGCTGGACCCGATTACAACTAGTTCCAAATCCAGTTCCAATATCAAACCCGGTTCTAACCAGTTCTAATTCCAAGTCCATTGATTTTGACCGGGAGCGGTAGGGAATTTTTTAACTCCTTGAGCCCTAATGTGGTTCATGCTTTTAGGTATGGCGGTGTTCCAAGGAAAAGAAGCTAGAGATAAAAGAGTCGCCAACAAGTTTTAGAAACTTGTAAACCGTTCATGGGTGTGAAGATTACACCCCATTCACGATCACGGAGATCGCTAACTCCATAGTGGTCCGGAACTATGACTGGATATTCGAGGATGATGATACGAATCCAACCTAAAAGAGATGTGGTCTGTTATGCTAAAATCTCCTCTACTCTGTTGAGTATTACTCGTAATAATATGTTGTTACTCTGCTAAAACTTGATGTCCTCTGCTCTGCTGAAATCTGATGTTCTCTAATTGCTCAGAAGCTCAAAACAACAAGACTTTACTCTTATATGTCGGTAGCCACACAATGTGGGCATGTGACCAACTATTATGGGGGTTACTTTGTCAAAACTATAGAGGTTACCCGTTCAGTGTTATAGGGGTTATTTGTTTGGTATCATAGGGGTTATTCCATCAGCGCTATAGGAGTTACTTTGTTCTTTTGCAAGCAGTTATTCGGTGAGGCTAGTCGCGCAAAAAGCGTAGTGTACTGTTTTTTTTTTTTTTTTTTTTTTTATGATTAGAGAAGTGGAAGTTGTTCGGAGGATAGTCCCAAAAAAAAATGCATATAATTGAAGGATTTTGAGTGCTATGGTGAATTGTTGATAAAGGAACTATTTACCCATGCTAATGCATTATATATTATACGCGAAAGAAAATAACACAAAGTGAAATGTTAGTACTGTCTTAAAAAAAAAAAAAAAAAAAAAAAAAAAAAAAGTGAAATGTTAATAGTAGTTATTGCACCCTTGAAAAAATACAAAATAAATAAATAAATAAAAAATAAAGGGGATGGGTAGTTATTGATTTTTTTTTTTAAGCTTTTAAAAAAAACATCAATAACTTCCTTCATAATAAAAAATTAAAAAATAAAAAATAAATAAAATAAAAAAAACCTAAAATGCATGAGATTTGAGTATTGGGGTTTTGGAAGCTTCACGTTAAAACGACTCTTAAATTATATATAAGATTTACATTACAAATTCCCTTTAAATCTGCAAAAAGGACGTGATCAAGCAATAACAATAAATCATAAATAATCAAGCAACATATGATTAATACAACAATCATTATCATAACAACAACATCAAAACATCGTTAGTAGTAAGATCTTAGGCATTATATACTAAACGGATTAATAACAAATCCTAGCATGTCACTAATAACCAAATCAAAGCATTATCCTAAACATGATACTAGAAATCATAAAACATCCTAAACATGATACTAGGAATTAAAATAATATTGTAAACATAATTTCTACTCCAAAATCAAAGAATATTAAAGAGGGCAATCGAATTATTACTCATTTTGATGCCTCAACCTTCTTGCTATCAAAACAATACACACGTTAGTAAACTTCAAGAAAGTTAAACCAATGAAGTAAATAAATTAACTATGAATTGAAATATAGATTTGGGACCAAACCTTCAGAATTATCAACCTTCCACATCGAGGTCAAAGGCAACGTCGAGGATGGCTTAGAGTACTCGAATCTCGTGAATGAGGAATTGTGACTGATTTTGGAAGAGTATCAAGGATGTGTTTAGGCTAAGGCTAAGAACATGGGATTAAAGAAAGATGATGGGAATTAAGATGGTTGTGATGATTGTTGATGATTGAAGCTAGGTGATTATAGCTTATGATTGATGGTTCTAGCTGATTTGAAAACGAGGAAAACGACCTCAATTTATAAGCAAAATAGAGAGTCTGGACGATCAGAAAAGATCAGAATTTGGAACGGAATAAAACAGGTTTCATTGCGGGGCGATAAACCTATCGCAACGCGACAGTGTCCATCGTGGCGCGTTGGTTCCGTCGTTCTGTGATGGTTTCTAAGATGATTAAGTCGTATGGATTTTGATTTCCAATAGAATTCGGTTATCGAAATTTATCCGGACGTCTTTTAATTTGATCGAGATAAGGACTATCAAACGAGAAGCTTTATTAGGCTTCGAACTCTTTTGATCTTTATATTTTCGAAAGGATAAATTAGAACCATCTAGAGGATTATAGAAGCTCCTAATGAATCTTAATTGGTTTAGGATTGGAAATAAGGTATTTGGACCCCCACATGATCATTGGGTCGTAGGTAAGGTGGACCTGGGTTCGGTTTGAGCTCGGTTTAGTATTTTGGCCATAACTTGTTCGCTTTAAGTCGGATTCGGGCTTATAGTATATCGTTGGAAATATCTTTTCAAGTCCCATCCAACTAAGCAATTATTAGACTGGGATTATGGACCAAAATAATCTGGTTTGGACTTTTTTATAAGTTGACACGAAATGAATGATTATAAAGGACACGAAATTAATTATTTTGGGTTTAAAGGGACAAAATGAACGATTTTGGATTAAAACATTTTAGATAAGGTTAGAAATATGGTCAAGGCTTAAGGAAATTTCACGAGATCCTTCAACTCTTTACCAAACTCATTAATCAAAGATGTGAAAGGTACTCATCACTAGGTTTTGTTTTTGGGGAGACACAATCAGGTGTCTACAGGTACCTGGTCTTGCTCACCCTTAATCATTATCCAACGAAATATTCTAATACAAATATTAGATAAGCACAATAAGAAATAGGAAAAAATAACAACAAAGGTCTAATCTATGGCTTGTCTTTTCTAAAAGGTCTCATCTTTTGAATAACTTAGGGTAGTCCTAACTATAATGATTTTTTCTCTAAACAGTCCCATGTGACTTGTTACCTATTGAATCGGTAATTTTTTCTAATTAAAAAAACTTATGCTCAATTTCTCTCCTTTCACGCCATAACCACCAAAAAGTCCAAAATTCCTCTCTCCCACATGCAACATAACCACCAATCCACCAACTCCATTCTTCTTCTACCTCCCATCCTTTCATACTCTCCAGGCTCCAGCACTTCCTATCCACAACATAAAAACCACCTCGGTTAAATAATTTTGTAAGAGTAAATCGTTTCTCGCAAAATCATGAGCATGGTGGGGTGGCATTTGGATTTACGGTGGTATTTTGTGGTGTACAGGTTAGACGACAGAGGTCAATGTGCGGCGAGGTAGGTTAGATAGTGATGGTTTCGTGATGTAATTGGGTTAGATGGATGGTGGTTTTGTGGTGTGGGTGGTTGGCAGTTTTGTAGTGGGGTAGGTTAGACCAATGGTTATGTGGTGGGGTGGCAGTGGGTATTACTTTTGGGTAGGTATGG